ATGATTCTATGATTCTAAGAGCAGCCTTTTCCCCTCACTCCCTCGTCGATGAAGACCAGCGATCTATTTCATCTGCCTCAAACAAAGGGCTCTTGAAAGACGTTCTCTTATTTTTCTCAACCCTGGGGGCATACAATTATTGCTGTTCGCTCATGCTTTGTGTGTTTAGGTATTGGAAGGCTGCATCTACTTTCTGTCATTGTTACAGCGTTCCCATGGAAAACTCCAGGGCAGCCAGCATGTTCCCAACTCGGGCTCTGCCCACCACCAGTGCTGGAGTGGCCAAGCCAAACCTCATCTAGGTGGTTACAGAAGCAAGCGGTGTCTTTCCTAAGCTGACAGCTGGGCAACGTCCTGCCTCTAAGTGAGATGGTGAAAACATAGCAGGGAACTGGAGAAGGCCCCAAACGCTTTTGAAACTCGTTCCAGCTAGTTCCTTCCAGCAGCATTCCTCAGGGAGCACATGATCGGCATGTGTTGACCCGTGTGACTCAACAGATAAAACGCTTCGCTAGCCCGAGCGAAACAGGTCACACGTGTAGCTTCGGCTGGGATTCAGAAAAGCGCTAGAGTGCCCTTTGCTTCGCGTGCGGCGTGGCGTAAGGCAGCAGGATACGTCAGCAGGCACAGGATCGGTTGAAGGCTGCCCATCCCAGCTGTGTGTTCAGTTCCTTATGTCACAAGAGAAGAAGTGGTTGTTAGCAAAAGTTTGGCAGCACCACAGATGCGACCTGTTAGCAGCCCGCTGCTGTCTGGTTTTACTCTGCGCAGGATGAAAACGTTACAAACGCATCTTAAATGCGAGAGTCCAGCTTGAGAGACTGAAGCAAAAAACCTTGTTAAAACACCCACTCAGTGTTAATTTTATTACATCACGTTACAGGGGTATTGTTACATTTGGCGATTCGGTATGCACCAGCACCTTGTGGGACAACGCGCCGCCGACTGGTCGTTTCACATGCAACACCCAGGGTCCGTCCCTCGCCGCAGCTCCAGCTCTCTGGCACAGTCCCAGAGCTGACTTCACACTAAGGTGGCGAGAGCCTGGACACTGTGGGAGCTTTCGGCAGTCCTGTGGACAGCATGGTGGTTTTTGACACGCCTGTCTCTAACGCTGCTGTCGGGGCTGTGCTGAGCCTTGGCCGCGTGTCTCTGGAAGGCCTGGACGGTTCGGATAGCGAAGATGCAGACCACAAAGCTGGCGAAGTATAAACAGGCAGCAGCAACACCGAAAAGGCCGACGGCTGCGTCGCCGCCCTGGACCACACAGTTCATGGAGGTGTAACCACGCCGCGCGTACAGCCTCTCACGCCTCTTGCAAACATCTGTGGTGTTCACCTGGCTGACAAAATGCAGGTAGAGGCCGACAGCCACGATGTATGCCACGCCGGTCAGCAGGTTGAAGGCACATTCGCCTGCCAGCAGCCCCGTCCTGAGCTGCTGGATGGGTTTTGCCCCCACGACAAGGAAGACGAGGGTAAGTACTGCTGCTGTTAAGCTGAAGGCTACACCGCCATACACGCAAGGGGCTCTCATCTGGGTGAACTGCATGTCTAGGTCCCTCACCTCCCGGAGCTCTGTCCCCTCAAAGGGGCTATAAGCTGAATTCAGGTTGAAGGATCCGGTGCCCAAGCCACCAAGGGACGTGAAGCCTGCAACAGAGGCTTGGGCAGCACCCACGCAGATCAGCACCAGGAGGTTAACCGTGATTTCCACAAACTTCAGAATGCCTGTAAGGAGCAGAAAGATGGAAATAGATGTCAAAATCACACCTTGTGGAAACTGAGGGTGACAGAAGTACATCAAAACCATAGATGGAGAACACTGTTACTGAGCTCCTCTTGGCTACAGCTACGGAGGAGCGCTGCTTTTAAAAAAAAAAAAAAAAAAGGCAGCAGTGTGAGCTCTCGTGGGTACATTTCAGAGGTTGGGCAAATTACTTTTTTTAATTTGTCAGTGTGCTTGATAAATGGATCTTCACACAGGGAAAGAAATCCATAAAAATTTTACTGTGCGTGTGTCATTGCCAAGACAAGAGTACAGCGATTGTGTTTTGGTCTGTAACTACTCGGCATAAACACACCCAGCAAGAAATAGCCAGTATGAACAAAATGCTGAGGGTAAACCTGACAAAAACCTAGAAGGTTCTAATGCCTTGAAAAAAATCATGCAAGTTATTTAGGTCCTTCAAAATGTGTTTACGGCTTTAACTTCTAATTGTTAATTTAAATTTATCGTTTAACCAGGTGCAACTTCATCTTCTTCAGAGACAGAAGTCGTCATCAATCTGAAGAAGCAATTCCTGATTGCATACAATAAGGAGGCACACCCCACCTTACATGTAGAGGTAAGTTAAGTGAATTTGATACCAGGTCATGCGTCCTGCTCCCCTCCCCCTCACCTTCAGAAGAAAGCCTTATGACTTCTGAGCTGAAATTCTTGTCTTTTTCTTACGTTATGCTACCAAGGTAACCAAGGTTTTTTTAAGGGTGACAAAAGTGGATAAATGACTTCTTTTTGTGGGAATTGCCTGTCAGGAAGGTGCAGCATCTGTCAGGTAAATCTGATTATTCTGTGACAGCTCACTAGGGGTCAGACTAAGATTAGCAAACATGACGGATGTTGCAGCGTAGCACAGCAAGAGTTGCCTATTCTGGAAATGAAAATCCCCAGTGCGTCATGCACGTTGCTCCTCGGCTTCTGAAGTTAATTACAGAATCGTGAATCTTGTTATTCCATTGCAGTCTGACAGCCAAGAACACAAGATGCTTGACACAGCGGTCCTATATTTGTCTTTAAAGTGGGCCAGGATCTGCAGTTTGCATACAGACTTTCATTTTACGCTGCTAACGTTGATGAGCATGGCATTTCCCTCTTGAGCAGTGGCTCAGTTGCTGTCAAGGCTGTATGGGCTTGAAAAAATACAAGGGCTGAAGCAGCACGCAAGGGAATTAGACAAATTCCTCTCTTGTGTTGCCAGATGCTTCTAACCAAAGAAAGCCAGTGACAGCCACCATGAAGGAATACTGGATATTCCCGTTCTGCCCCTTCTTATTCCCTCCACAGAGGGTTGAGGTGACGAGCACCTTCCCACTGCTGCTTGCTCTTCACAGGAGGGTGCTGGCAATGGTATGACATATGGTGGTATGCACACACACACACATATATATATAAATACATATGTATATAGACACACACAGCTATCAAGTGCATACATATACAGATTTCATCTCCTAAAAAGAATTAGGTAGAGCAGGCAGAGAAGACAAAGTGCTCCTGTTGAGGAGCATGCAGTTCTGCACATGTGCTCTTCAGAGGCGATGCTGATTTCTGCATGACAGTATGCCGTTTCCTTGACCCTTCCGCACAAGCGTTTTTCTTGTGAGCAAGGCAATGACCATGCTGGTCACCAAATCTGTTCAGGCGGCTTCAAATATTTCAAAGGAAACATTTGTGAAGCTAAATGTAAAGAAAAATTGAAATCCTGGTCCGTGAGACAAGATGGGGAACTCCTTGTACCAAATTCAAACGACGTGGCCAAAAGACTCAATGTTTTTTATGGGTACAGAGCCATCACTTTACCAGGACAGTTCAAAATGTTTTGAAAGAGTAATAGTGGTACAGGACATACATTGGAACTGGATCAGATATTTTTTTGTCTGCTCAACTGAGCTGTACAATCTGCCTTCCAAATACAGGGAGCCAGCTTGGGCCCTTGGACAGTGTTGGATGCAGAAGGCCACTTCCCTTCTGATCAGTAGGCTGACTACTGATTTTATAGATACTCCATCAGGAAGCAGTTCTTGTAAGTCTGTAGGGAGGAAAGACCATTTGATTAAGGGAAACATAAATTTTAAGTGTTTGGGAACTTGGAAGTTGGGCATTCATGACCGGTCAGCTTTCTTCTACCGCTGTCTTCAGAATTTCCTTTTACTTTATGACTTGTGAGGCACTCTGACCCGCTGAGCATCCATTTTTCCTATCCATCACCTTGCTGAGCTTTACAGAAGGCATTTTTATGTTGTCAGAGGACTCAGCACCTGCTGGTAAGCTCCCCACATTTATAACTGACCCCAATCCTCATGGACACCATTAGATGTCAGGAAGAAATTCTTCACAGAGAGGGTGGGGAGGCACTGGGACAGGTTGCCCAGAGAATCTGTGGATGCCCCATCCCTGGCTGTCTTCAAGGCCAGGCTGGATGTGGCTCTGAGCAACCTGGTCTAGTGGAAGGTGTCCCTGCCCATGGCAGGGGGGTTGGAACTACATGATCTTTAAGGTCCCTTCCAACCCTAACCATTCTATGATTCTATGACACTGCTCCAAAACTTCCTGTATGTTCACCCAAATCCTGTCCACAACCCCTGGACTTCACTGAGCTGACTGCTGGTACCACAGCAGGGCTGGCAGAATGCGTCTCTTCGCTCAAATGTGATCAACGCAGGACTACTGTATTTTTAAATGCAGCAGTAGATGCTGCAATGGCATGCTCGAAAAATTTCCTTAGGCAGGGCATTCAGGTTGGACAGGTTTTGTATGTACCTGTGCAGTTTTCACACACGCCTCCTGCAGAATTGCTTAGAGTAAGTGAATAATGGAGAGAGGCTCATTAGCAGTTTACTCCACCGGTTATTTGCAACACGTGGATTAACTTTTTTTTTTTTTTTTAATAAAGTGCAATAACAAAGCCTCTTGTATGAAAGACAATCCTAAAATGAATAAGCAGTATGTAGAACGAAGCTGTGAATTACAGGTCTACGATGACAGCCAGCGGGGCTTGTGAAAGTAGCAGACAATTACTGGAAATCCCTGAGGCCTTGTACAGTCATCAGGGCTTTGATGGAAATATTAAGCCCTACAGAATGTTCAGATCTTGACCCTGGCAGCCCAAAAGACTCGTGCAACCTCAGTCTGTGAAAGTTAGAAGCTGACACCCAATCCTACCATACTAGCATAAACAGGATAGACAGACTTGAGAAATAAGGAGTAACAGGACACTTAAGTTTCAAAATTTAGCTCTGTCAAGGTGTGCTAACACACATATACTAGCAGTAACCTCTGACAAGCAGTGTATTGCTGGCAGAAAGGGCTGAGTTGAAAGCCACGCTTCCGAGCCTGTGCTGCCACTCACTCCTGCTTTCACCAGCCGCTTAGCTACGTCATCTCAGAGTTAGAGCTGCAGAAACTAGATTGCCAAAAGGTCTTCCTAAAAGGAAGTTACTTATCTCTACAACTACTCCCTAATCCCAGGCAACAATGGACCTCTTGCAAGACTTGAGTGTAAAATGACAGGTCTGAAAATCTCAGAACTCCACTGGTTTGGTTATTTTTCCCTTCTGAAGTTAAAAATCTTGGGATCTATCTAAAACGTTACTGATTTGTATTAAAATTAGCACAGTGAGCAGGTGGCTTTGGGAACTAACCCTCTCCATACTGAGCAAGTAACAAGACTCAAGCCAGGGCTCCTGGATTTCCATTTCCTTCCCCATACTTCTTTCCTGAAGGTGAGGAGAATGATGGCAATCTAGAAGACAGTGGGTGTTGCCAGAACTTTCCAGAGTATTGTTTCATTCATTCCATAAAACGTAAACCTGCAGTGGATAGCAACATCAATGTATCATACTTTTTCACGTTTTTCGAACGCGGTTTGGTTTTTTGCTGTGAGTAGGCTTCCTGCACTAACAAAGAGCAGCCTTCCAACATATACTATTAATCTACTGTTCACTTTTTCTTTCCCTTCTGTACCTGGTGCCTGTTGGGCTATTGCCATGGTAATAATTCACTGATCAATGGGTTTGTTTTCCAACAAATGGTGGGCTGAGATGTGCAGCAAAGCAGGCAGATGGGTACAGATCCACAGGCAGCTGACCTTACTCTTACGCCTCCTACCCCTGGCCGGGCAGCCACCACTTTCCTCACCTGCCCAATAATAACTCCGGCCTAGTATTAGGCACTTCCAAAAGCTGTTTTAATGAATTGCTTCCTGCTATTTAAAATTTAACTCTTTCCTCATGTGCTGCTGGGTTTTTTCCTGCAACTTTAGCAACTTGAAGTGACTGACAGAGTATCTGATGGGCAGTCGTGCTGGTGTGAGTTTAGCAAGGGAAGTAACGGAGCCAGGACCGGAGAGGGACCAGAAAGTCTCCCTTTCAGGTGAGGTGAGATGTTAGATCTGCACGCTCTGCATCACAGAACTACACCGTGGCTGGCTGTGGTACCCTGTAACTTAACTGTGTGCTTAAGTCCCCTGCGCTGGAAGCTGCGAGGAGGCTTTTTCATCCAGGCAGTGTAGGAGGACGGCCCCAGCGCTCAGGCATCAGGGTGACAGCGCGCGGACACACGGGTGTGCGTAAAGTAGAATGGTCAATTCACGTTTGTTCCGATGTTTCTGAAGCTGACAAGAATCAATCCGTAGAACAGTCAGTGCTGGCTGTTTCTACTGAACTCCCCCTGACCCTATGAGGACCTAACTAACAGAGGATACTTTCACAGTGTCTCCCTTCACTGCGTCTTGGCACAGTAGTCACTTTTTTACCCCCCTCTGTTGACCACACATGGACTCTTTCTCCCCACTCTTTTGGTGTCATTCTTTCCTCCCGAGTTAACATCCCTGCATACTTCTAAGATATTTTGTCTTTCTCTGCCTTGCCTTGCTTTTTCCCTCTGCTTCCTTTGCCAGGCCATGTACCCCTGGGACCAGGGGTCCCCAGCTGACAGCCCCGGCTGCCCC